CTCCAGCATCCCCTTAATCTGATAATATTATTTGGACAGAGAGTGCTCAAATATCGTATAAAGGAAAAAGTAAAAATCAATCCACCAAAATATTTCAACGACAGACGAACGCATTTAATAGAGAAGAACCAAGTGAGTTTCAAGAGTTCTTTAACTTTGGTGAGTGTGTGTTAATAAAAAGTATGCAAGATTTTGTACAAACAAATCAATATATTCGTGATATTTCTTAAAGCGATAATTCTATGCATTCTACATAATAAAGAAAATTTATAAACATTTACATTACACATATCAAATCTGATTTTTTTACTAATATATGTAATATGAATGCACTTGAAAGTTATTAATTTAAAATATCTTCAAATAAATCTTACTTAATTGTATCAGAATTCAAAATAGAATTGCATGTAACATAAGAAATATTTTTTAAAACTTGTACATATGTACATATCAAAGTACAAAAGTATAAAATTATAAATTTGTCTTTATCAATTTTTTTAATGGAAATGATATATTGTCCAAACTTAGGCAAGAAAGCAACTTATTAATTATTCTTGAAATGTAATGCAAAAGTTTGGCAAAAGTTTTATAAAATTGATTATGATTAATAAAAATGTTTTCTCCTACAAAACTCCGCTATTCGTTCAACTCAATTTTATGATTGTCTTGTACATAATGTTATGTTAATTAAAGAGAATATATTAAATGTAAGATGTCTGAAAAATCTCTATGCACGTTTGATAAAATCAGATTGTAAATAGTTTTATTTATACAATTTTACATGTTATTATATGTAAAATTTAACCTATAAAAACAGAGGCTTTTAGGATATTTAGATTATTTTTATCATTCATAAACGAATCAATTATTTTCAGGTTTCTGACGCACAGAAAATTGACGATATGTCTAGTAAGATGAATTCGGAAACGCAAGAAGTATCTTCACCATTTTTACCTGCATATACCAAAAGCTACGCTGCATCACGAATTGAAATGATTACAATTGAATATACATGGAAGATTGAAAATTTTGATGATATTTATAGAAGTCTAACTCAGTTACAATCTCCACCACTTGATAAAGAAGGTCAATACAGTATTAAAATGAATATTTCACGGTTATCAAAACGAGATTCAAAGATACAATTTAATTTATGTACTAAGACAACGTTTATTGGATTATGTTCTACTGCTATTAATGTATGTCAATTTAAAACCGAAAATCAAATCTCGGATCCTATATCGAATGAGGCATTATTACTCGAACTCTCGACAGACCACTTTTATAATTATCAGAGATCCTATTCGTCTTTCAAGAGAGACACGGCTCTAATATACTGCAACATTAAGGTTTTTCATAATCAGATAAATAGCACTGTATACATGAATTCACCCTCTGAAACGGTATTTAAAGACGTGAAATCTCTTGAAGACTCAACTCTTGAACTTGAGAATGAAGATGAGAAAGCAATCGTATTTATAGTTGAAGACGAACAGTATGTTATATCAAAAAAATTGTTGTGGAACACCGGCAGTAGTTACTTTCAGAATGTCTGTCGTACACATAAAGGAAAAGTAAAAGATATGAAAGATGAGTTACAACAAAATGAGTTAAATACTTTCAAACAGATTTTATCATATATTTTAACTGGCTCAGTAGACGAAAGTTATTATCACAAGTTTATACAATTGTTAACAACAGCTGATAAATATGATGTACCCATGTTAAAAATAACGTGTGAACATCACTTGCTATATCATCTTAACAAAGAAAATGCTGTGGAACTTCTACAGCATGCATTATCATCTAATGCGTCATCTTTACAAAAGCATTCGGCAACTTTTATTAAATTTCATATGAAAGAATTGATGGATGTTTTCATCCAAAAACTTCTAAATCCATCGCAAGAAGATTTAATTAAGATAATGATATTGATTGAAAAATTGAAAATTGAAATACATGAAAACAGTCATTCCTTCAGCTTTCCCAAACCCATAACACCACCTGTTGATAGGTCAATGATATAATATTGCAGTTTTAAATATAAATGAATAGAACATGATAATTTTGTTTAATTAATAAACGTCTGTTTTTTCTTTTCTCCAAATATAACTTATGCTATTACTACTGTACTTTCACTTTTCATATGCATTCTAGTGTTAAGTAATACACTCTATAATATAATAAGAATATGCTCTATGTATTAAGTAATATGTAATTTGAACTTGTGCGTATGAATAAAATTATTATTAATTATATTTCACACCTATGAAACTTATTAGTTATATTTTGTGTAACTATTATTTCCTTTTAGTTATATAATTCTATCTCTCTCTCTCTCTCTCTCTCTCTCTCTCTCTCT